AGGCTCCCTGCTGAGCAGAAAGCCCAATGTGGGGTTCGATCCCAAGACCCTGAGATCAGGACCTGAGCTGAAGGCAGCATCTTAACCTACTGAGCCACCCAGGCACCTAAATTTTACATATATTTTTAAAGGTAGCTTTAAAAAATACAAAGGGCCTTCTATCCTCACCTTCAAATTTGAGAAACTGAGATAGAAACAAACTTTTGAGAGACAAAAGAAATGAGAAAACTGAGACAGAAAACAAATTTCTATTGCTTTCTCCCATGTTCAAGACACATTATAAAATTGGACCCTTGCTATAAATGTACATTTTATATTTCATTTTCCTAATACTTACGAGCAAACTACTGGGTCACTGAAAGAATTGATTCAGTGGCCTGTCAGCAGGGCACCAAAATTTAAAAGCAGCCTGGGGAAGTGGATGTCATTGGCATCCTCACCCTAATGTTTGCCCAAATTAGAAACAAATCACTTAAAACATTAAAGCTGGGTATGTCCAGATGCACTAGTGTAAAGGTTGAAGCTACATTTTTATGTGGGATTTCCCCCTTTACTTATTAAACATTCAGAACATTGTTTTTTTAAGTAATTGGTGATCTAATTTGTGGCAAATGAGTACAAATTAGTATTGGGGTCAACCAATAACAAGCTGTGACCCTGGGCACGTTGCTTTGTATCGCTCAGAGCCTGGAGTCTGTTAAGCACCGTCAATAAACTCTGCTAGTGCCAGCAACTCCTTTTCAATCAGTATGTAATCCCTCATCTCTTAGTGATCACAGAATGAGTTCAAACCACAGAAATCAGTTATGATCTTTAACAGGGGGTTCTCCGCCCCCTCTTGGAAAGAGGGAGCAGTAACAAAAGGCCAACTTGGTGGAGGCTCCACTTCCTATGAGATCATAGAATGATTTTTCCAAGGCACCCAGCAATTTGTCATATGAAAAGGAGCTATGGAAATGAAAATCACAACGGAGAGAATGTGACTAAAAATGAAAACAGGCAGTAGAATGCAAACTCCGCTTCTGAAACAGCTTTGGCCTCCATCCCTGTCTTCCTGCCCTCCTGCCCTAGCTTGGTGTCCTGCACCATCTCGGCCAGGGACTTGCCACCACCCCTAGTAGCAGCGCTCCTCCATCCCTTCCCCACATCTCCGTGGGTTTGAGCAGGCTGTAAAGCAACGTGGGTTACGAGAAAATGTGTGGTCTAATGCCATCGGTAGAGAACGTGTCTGTGGCTGTGTTTATATCTAGGGATGTATATAGACAGCTTCACAGAAAAAAAACAACAAATATTAAGAATGGTTCTCTAACATGTGATCTGTTCCTTTTATACTTTGGACATCATTGAAAACTGGGAAAACATAATGATTAATTTTATAATCAGAAAACAAGTAAGAATGTAGAGAACAAACTGATGGTTTCCACAGGGGAGATGATGGGGGAGTGAAACAGGCCCTGGAGATTAAGAAGCGCACTAGTCCTGATGAGCACTGAGTGATGTATGGAAGTGTTGAATCACTACATTGTATACCTGAAACTTATACAACACTGTATGTTAACTAACAGGAATTAAAAACTTTAAAAAAATAAACCCACCATTTTTGGAGAACAAAAGGAAGAAAGAAAAAAAGAAAGAAAGAAAGAAGAGAGGAAGGAAGGAAGGAAGGAAGGAAAGAAAGAATTGAAGCAAGCATTCCATGATAATCTACAGCAAACAGGGACTGCACTGGCTTCGCCAGGATGCCAAGCTGATATCTTGAACTGAACACAGCAAACAGGATAAAGTCCAAACTAGAATTTAAGGTCCTCTATCCATGACCCCAGGTTACTTCCCCGACATTATCTTATGTACCTCTGGCACATACCCTAAACGGAAAACACACTAGATTGTTTACCCTGGATTCAGTCTTCCCCACCCGACTTGGCAAGTCCTTGCCCATGTTGTGCGTACAGCCTGCCTCCTGAAGACTTCCTCAAGTGCCTTTTAGAACCTACCCACTGGTAAGCACACAGAGCATTGATTTCATCTGGATATGTAACATAATTAATTGTGTTTTTCTCTATTCCACCAAGCAGTGAGCTCTCCAAAGGCACATTGCACCTTGTCCCCTGAGAACCGGGCTCACTGCTTGGTACCCAAATATAATCAATAAGTGTTTGCTGAAATAGATGATCAATGCAAGGAGGAGGATGCCCCTGGGGCAGTTAGCTGCAGAAGACTTTACAGGAGTAGGATTTGAACTGGGTTTGAAGAAGAGGTAATATTTAGATAGAAGCGATAGCTTATTCCAGTTACCATTGTATGTTAAAAATACAAGGACTTCCTCAAGGGCATTGTTGGCATTCTAATGTAGACTGCTTAATATTACAGAGTAAATTGATCCTAAAAGTTCTCCTTTAAAAGGGAGATGTACCTTCTTATTTTGCACTACCATTCTTAAGCTACAAGGATACAATATTTACAATTAAAAGCTAGTTGTCGTTAATAAAAAATTAAAAGGCAAATGGCAAACTGGGAAAACCTTGACAACATATATAATAGAAGGTTAATAACTACATATCAACAAGAAACTATTAATGGGTAAAGGGGGAAAAAGGCAATTCATAAAAGAACAAATTCAAATGGACAATATATAATCAGAGGAAAGTTTAAGATCATTAGTAATAAAATAAATGGAAACTAGCGTGGGCTACAACTTTTCACCTTCCAAACTGACAAATTAAAAGATGCTACTCAATATCATTGGGGGAAAGACAAAGTACTTTCATGGGGCTGTAACTTTTCTGGAAAACAATTTAGAAATAAGTTTCAAGAGTTTTGAAAATAAATCCCTTGAACCTAGTAATTACACTTGAAGGATTCTATCCCAAGGAATTAATCAACAATGTACACAAAGTTTTATACATGAGCACCACCATTCCTAAGAACTAAAAGCTGGAAACTATAAACTACCAACTGTAAAAAAACAAGTGTAATACTACTACATTTATTTGATGCTATAGTAAAAATCACGTATTTTTAAAGGATATCGTCATTGAGGAAAATGCTCACAATATAATACAATACAAAGTGGGAGAAAAAAGATTTAATTGTACGCATTCTGGAAACAGGACTGAAGACAGCCTTGGGAAATGGGATTGGGGAAAGAAGGATAGCCTTTCCCATTTTACTGTTCTTCTTTTTCTTTGGGTCAGTAATAATGGTATAGCAGTTGCTATACAACCAATAATAATGTGAATGTTTACTGTGGACCAAGCATCGTTTTAAGTCTCTTGTGTTTATTTTCTCATTTAATCCTCCCAACAACCTGATGAGGTAAGCACTATTATCATCCCCACTTTACAGTTAAGAAAACTGAGGAACAGGGATGTCAATCAAGTAGTCCAAGGTAGAGCTATGATTCAGAGGCACAATTTTGACTCCAGGCTTGTTCTCTTTAACTACAAAGAAATGGTACCCCTTGTAGTATGGTGTTTGTAAATAAAGAACCTGATCCCACTTTTTTGCCCTGGTGGTTTACTCACCCCAAAAGCTTCTTCTCCTACCTAGCTGCATAAGTACTTGATCTCTTTAAATCCTTGTATAATTAGGACCTACAAATGAGTCGAACACTGAAAACAGGGTGCAAAATTGCAATCTGCCCCTCCTCTTTTTTACTCTGCTTTATTTTCTCCAAGTATTGATCTAGCATATTATACAATTTTCAGATTCACCATATTATTTCTGTCCCCCTCCCCCCAGCCAGGTGATCTCCACTAGGTTAGGAGTTTTTATCTGTCTTGCTAACTGGGATATTACAGCCTGGAAAGGTACTAGCTACAAACCAGGTGTTCAACAAATATTTATGGATTAAATAAAGCTTTTAAAATACACCATGAGGGGCGCCTGGGTGGCTCAGAGGGTTGGGCCTCTGCCTTCAGCTCAGGTCATGGTCTCAGGGTCCTGGGATTGGGGCCCGCATCCGGCTCTCTGTTCCGCGGGGAGCCTGCTTTCCCCTCTCTCTCTGCCTGCCTCTCTGCCTACTTGTGATCTCTCTCTGTGTGTCAAATAAATAAATAAAATCTTTAAATAAAATAAAATACAGCATGATTTTCGCTTTCTCATTTTAAGACTAAAACAAGTATACACATGTATATGGGGGAGAAGAAAATATTTCAAAATGTTAATGGTGACTCCAAGTGATATGTCTCCTTGTTCTTTGTGGTTCTATTTTCAAATTTTCATGTGAAAATGTACTATTTTACCATGACATAATTGCTTTTAAAACATTTCTTCTAAATCTCGGGTAACTTACCTTGCCATGCGCAGCGAGTTGTCATTGCTGCAAATACAAGAAGCCCTCTTCCTTGTGTAATGCAGTCCACAAGGGGAAAGGTATTGATGGTCTTTAAATAAATTATTGCTCTTAAATCATCTCCCAATATTTTGTGGTGGTGAACTATTCCTTAGAGAAATAAAAATTTCTGCCTCTCCCGGTCGACCGCGGCATGCCTGGAGAACATACCCACCTAGCAACCGGGAGTCAGCTGAAGTGTGGCACTGCGCCTTTAACTCCGGGTAGGGGAGGAGGGCGGCGGATAATTTCCGTTCCTCCACTCCCTCCACGGCCCCGGTGGCAGCTGTCACCTGTAAGGCGAGCGACGAGCACAGGGGATGGAACCTGGCGCCTATTGGACACAATACAAAGGCAGAAACCTACCCCGAAGGCTGGGGGCCCGGCGAGCCGGAGGCGGTGGGCTCGCAATGCGGCCCTCCGCGCCTTCCTCCGGGAGACACCCGGGCCCCACGACGCGGGCGTGACCAAGGTCCAGCTTCAGGGACACTCCCGTCCCGCCTCGGTGAAACGATCAGGTGAGCCTGGCAAAGGAAGACCTCGCTCCCGGAACCCCTGCTCCCGCTCGTCCCAGCGGGCGCGGAGACGTGCACCTGCCCCGGCAGCCCGGTACCGAGGGCGCGTGGGAAGGGGCGGCCTCGGCTCCCCTGCGGGGCTGGACTGGACCATGGCGCTAGCCGCCGCGGCCGCGGCCGCCGCCGCCGGGGTGAGCCAGGCGGCTGTGCTGGGCTTCCTGCTGGAGCATGGAGGCAAGGTGCGCAACTCCGATCTGCTGAGCCGCTTCAAGCCCCTGCTGGATGCAGGCGACCCCCGCGGCCGCGCCGCCCGCAGGGACCGCTTCAAGCAATTTGTCAACGACGTGGCTGTGGTGAAGGAGCTCGACGGCGTCAAGTTCGTGGTGCTGAAGAAGAAGCTGCGGCCCGGAGGGGCCCCAGAGCCCCTGCCCTCGTGCGTCCCCGGCACGCTCGGGGCACTAGCCCTGCCTTCGAAGATCACTTCCGTCTCACAGTGGGAACCGGCTGACCCGGGGGCTCCATCCCCGGCCGCGGCGCAGCAGGCGGTGGAACCACCTGAGGACCTGGCCCCGCCGGTAGAGCCACAGGACACGCCGGGGGCTCCGGCCTCAGAGCCCACTCAGCCGGCCGGGGAGGTGTTGTTAGGTCCGGCTCAGCAGTCAGGGGCGCCCTCAGACGCCCAGATTTCAGGCTTTGAGCTGGCCCTGCCCCCCAAGGGACTCCCTACAGATGTGACCCCGCCGTCTAGGTCGCGGTCGGTGGAGGCCTTGCCCCACGCAGAGGCGCGGGCCCCGGAACCTTGGCGTGGGGCGACGAAAGAAGAGCCAGCACCGGGTCGGCACGCGCAGCCGCCTCCGAAGCCCTGCATGCTGCCTGTGCGCTGCGTCCCAGGCCCCGCCGCGCTCCGGATCCGGGCCGAGGAGCCGGGCCTGCGCCGGCAGCTGTCGGAAGAGCCGAGCCCGCGGAGCTCCCCGCTGCTGCTGCGGCGGCTGTCAGTGGAAGAGTCTGGCCTGGGGCTCAGCCTGGGCCCGGGCCGCTCCCCGCACCTGAGGCGCCTGTCGCGCGCAGGCCCGCGCCTGCTGAGTCCGGACGCGGACGAAGCGCCCGCCGCGCCGCCACCGTCTGCTGTGCCCCTGGAGCCGACCGAGCACGAGTGGCTAGTGCGGGCGTCTGGGGGCTGCTGGACCCACCAGCTGCACGGGCTGCTGCTGCGCGACAGCGGCCTGGCGGCCAAGCGCGACTTCATATCTGGCTTCACGGCCCTGCATTGGGCCGCCAAGAGCGGCGACCGCGAGATGGCGCTGCAGCTGGTGGAGGTCGCGCGACGCGGGGGCGCGCCGGTGGACGTGAACGCGCGCTCGCATGGCGGCTACACGCCGCTGCACCTGGCGGCTCTGCATGGCCACGAGGACGCCGCCGTGACGCTGGTGGTGCGCCTGGGTGCGCAGGTGCACGTGCGTGACCACAGCGGACGGCGCGCCTACCAGTACCTGCCGCCCGGTGCCTCGTACGCGCTTCGCCGCCTCCTCGGCGACCCCTGCCTTCGAGGCTCTACCGAGGCAGACGTCACCGGTGCTGGTGGTGGCACTTTTGCGGCCCGGCGCCCAGTGCAAGTGGCCGCCACCATCCTCAGTTCCACCACCAGCGCGTTTCTGGGTGTCCTCGCCGATGATCTGATGCTCCAAGACCTGGCTCGAGGCATGAGGAAGTCGGGCTCCTTTAGCAAGTTCTTGGGTGCCTCGCCCATGGCTCCACGTAAAAAGAGTAAGGCCCGCAGTAGCCTGCCGGCTTTTTCAGAAATCTCTCGTCGATCTACTCCAGGACCCTTGGCTGGTCTAGTGCCCGGCCTACCCCCCACAACCTGAGGGTCCGTGAAGCTCAGCTTGGTTGATGTAACCCGGCCTGCCCCTCGCTGTCTAAGCCTGGCCAAAACAGCGGCTCAGCACCTGTGGCTCCATCCTGTTTCCAGCTTTGTCCACTGAAGCCTATTTTACCCCCGTGGGCGAACACCTCTAGCTTCTCCCTGAAGCTTGACCTGTCTCTGAAATGGTAGTCAAGATCTCAGTGAGAACCTTCTATAAAGAACTCTAGACATCAGGCTTGAACATTGGAGGCTCAGATTTTAGGATCAGAGTTAAGTGCCCTGAATGAGTTAACCCAATACCTCCGCCATCTACACGCTCCCAAACCAGAACTAGAGGAAGGGTCTCTTTAAATTTAGTGTGCTGGGCGCCTGGGTGGCTCAGTGGGTTGAGCCACTGCCTTCTGCTCAGGTCATGATCTCAGGGTCCTGGGATCGAGTCCGGCATCGGGCTCTCTGCTCAGCAGTGAGCCTGCTTCCCTCTCTCTCTCTATCTGCCTGCCTCTCCGTCTACTTGTGATCTCTGTCAAATAAATAAATAAAATCTTAAAAAAAAATAAAATAAATGTAGTGTGCTGCTGGATTGTCAGCTTTAAGATACTAGTGGTTTTGTAATTTGATGCTTTTATCCTGTTTTTAAGTTAAAATGAGGTAAAACAACTTTCATAATAACCTTTTGAAATTATATTTTTCAATTTTTAGGCAAAATGCTCATTTTCAATCTTTTGCTAAGTATTTTGGAATTCTACCTAAAAAAAAAAAAAAAAATGATCAGGATCTAAAGGAAATTAGTCCCAACAACAAAACCCTTAAACGTTTATCTACCTCATTTTAGATGCTCAAGATTCTAGAGAGACTTGAACACAGAATGTGACCATTGTGAATGTAATTAATTTCAGTTGTACTGTGAATGCTCAATATTAGAAAATGAGCATCTTAGGAGTGAGAATGACTTAACAGTGAGAGAAAAGAGACATTTTGGCAAATACTTTCAATTTCTGGTTGTCTTTATGATGAAATATAAACAGCCTCTTCGGCACTGGTGGGTGGTTATTTTGATTTGGCATGAACATTTAATATTTTAAGTGTGATTTATCTGTGAATGCACCATTGTGCCATGTGTCTGAATCTGGTTTTCCATTCTGGCTGAGCCTTTCAATGCAGTAGGTGGATATTCAAAGAAAAATATGTCATAGCATTACACCTGAAAAATAACTGGTTAAGTAGGGATACTTAAACAGCAACCATTTTATATGAAAATTCTATAGAAGCAAAAACTATGTTATATCCACCTTTAAAAGCCATCTGAAAGCAAACAACTTATTCCAAAATAGGAAATGTTGAATTCTTTGCTCAGTGACCTTAGAGGGATGGCTTAACTTCTCTAGACCTTTATTCCTATCTGTAATTGAGAAGGTTTGTAGCTATTTACCAGGAGGTCCCAGGTTCAACACACTGTAACTATAATGTCTCTTTTTCTATTTTAAAGATGGGGACTCTATTTACTCAACCAGCCTTTTAAAAATATCATACTGTGGTAATGCTCTGCTTTTGCAAATTATGTTTGCATGTCATTAGCTATAGCAAATAGTTTTTGTGGCACCGGGGAGTGTGGCTTCTCCCCTCCATATATATTTATCAGTGAGGTCTCTGACATAATTTAAGGCCGTCCTTAATGGAATGTTTTGATTTAAGCAATGAAATAAACAAGTTTCCCATTTTGTTCCTGCTTGTGTGATAATGTACTTCCCTTAAACTTTCTCCAGCTCCTGCTACCGTATTTTTCTTGTCTTTTTATCTACTTACTTCTTCAGTTTCTCCTCATCTTCTTCTGCCCCTTCCAGGCATTCCATTATTGAAAGAGTTTGGATTGATCATCTAAATGCAGGTTGCACCCACACATGGATATTAAAAACAAACAAACAAACAAACAAATGAATGCAGGCCCTGATCTGACCTTCTCACCTTCCTTGCCTGGAACTCTAGCTAAGCGGCATAAATTATTTTAAAATGCAAATTAACTCTGTCTCTGCAGAAAAATTGTGGGAGGCAATAATTACAGCAATCTCAGTTGCTGAAGGTCTAGAGGACAGAATAAAATATTAGATTTTCCATGGTAAAAGAGAGGCTTGACTGAGACAGGATAACAAAGATCACAAACACAGGTATGACCTGCCTTGAGAAAGACAAAATCTAAACCACCAAAGTAGTAATAATAATAACTAATGTCTATTACACTCTTAAATAAGAGGAGGGTTACTTAAACTCCCAGAAGAATCTTTGTGTTTCAGAAAGGCATGCTGCAACGCTTCCAAGTGAAATAAAACATTTGGCAAGAATTTAGGATCAATAAGCCTAAAACAAAAAGTGTTAGAAACCACTGTTTATTCCTTGCAGATCAAGACTTTCTGAAACTATAAGTCAGTAGGAAATTATACTTTGATATGCATATGGAAAGTTTTCAAGAACCATATATTGCCCAGCACAAGGTACACCTATGAGGGTTATTTTCAACAAGTGACAAAAAAAAAAAAAGTTGCTTATAAGTTATGGCAATTTAGCTGGCTGGAATTGTCATGGGGAGGAGAATCACTACTTTTAATGGGGGAGAAGTTAATTGTTATATAGATATGTATGAGTCACCCAGTGCAAGCTTTTAAATAAAGGTTTATACTTCCTTTAAAGGAGGTTGGAAGTTGTTCTAGAACGTGTCTCACTTAACTAATGGAGACCAGGATATGCGTGATGCACATACAGCCTGTGTTTATTAAGTACCAGGCACGGTTTTAACCCCTGTGCAGGTATCAACCTCAACATTACAAGGTAAGTTCTGTTAGTATCTCTTGAATTTAAGGTGAGGAAATTGAAGCCTCAAGAAACTGTAAATAGCTTGTCCCAGCTTCACAGCTATAACTGTCAGAGCTGCGGGATGGCCTCCTGGTGCTCTTTTCCATCAGTGTCCTGCTGCAGAAAAGCAAGTGGTCTCATCTCAACCCTTACTCATCTAGAGAGCTTAAACAAGTCACCCAGTTCTCCAAGCACTATCTCCCTCCTTGGGGCTGTAAGACTGGCAGTATCTATCCCACAGGCTTCGAGGAGGGTGGACCCTAGGGAAGGAGTAGGTAGAGCTCCTTGGGAACTGCAACACCATCTTGAAAGATTACCAGGGGTGCCCAGTTGGTCCCACAGGGTATCTGGCTACATTCCAAAACCAAATAGCTCTCATTTGTGGCTTTGCTTTACCAGATCACCATTTTTTAACTATGTTAGTATGTGTAAATAAATAACAATGGACTCTGCTGGGAAAAATGTATTCCCACCAAAGGGAGATTATCTCACATTCTGTATGATATCATACAGAATGTTAAAAATAGACACCACGATGTCTTTCTTAATGCACACTCCCTTACCATCCTTAGCCCTGTCTTCCAGACCTAATGTCATCCAGCCAGCTGGACTGAAAGCACTCCTCAACACAGTTCTAAAGCTGGGCTCACTCAGAACCCATATTCTCTGCCTTTTTTGACCCTTTCCTGTTAGAAATTATTTGGCCTTTTAAAATAGTTTGATAAACAGACTTTTTATTGCTCTCCAGATAGCTTTTTGCCTTGAACCTTTCGCCCTGGCCTAACCCTTCCAGAACAGCCACAACTCTGAACTTGAACTTGTGAAGCACCGGAGGCCTCAGGTGTTTCTGCAGGGAAGTGGGAAAAAGGAAGAGACCGAGAAACAAGGCGCGAGGGTGTGGTGGGAGTGAGGGTGGGGATATGTCCAGACATCTCCTGGGTGGGGGGGGGGTCTTCCTAGGGGTAAGGTGGTGCTGATTTAAGTTTCAACAACAGGTAAACACCTACCCTGCGGGTCTAACCTGTAGCTAGGCTGTGACCGTAACACTGCGGGGGTCTTGGAGAAGATGCTTTATAGCTGCTGCCCCACCTCCTCCTCCTGCCCCCACGTTGCTCTTTCGCCTCTTCTCTCTGCGGTGCTCAAGCACATTTGACCTAAATTTCCACCCAAGCTTCTGATTTACATGTGAATGAACAGCACCACGATCTGTTCTGCGAGGATCCCTGAGGTCTACAGCCGCCACTAGCGGAGGTATGCGGTGTGCGGAGCAGGCTGTTCCAGACAGAATGCGCGCGGCTTTGGGGCGCCGCGGAACACCGCTTCCCTGTTCGGCTTGCAATCTACAGTCTGAAGGTAAAAAGTACACTAATTAAATCCATAATAGGAGGAGCGGCGGGGGCGGGATGAGGCCAGCGGGGGAGGCGGCTGCGGGGCTGTCTGTTGCCTAGCAACAACGCCAGCCGAAGTCTGCTCTCTGCAAAAAGCCAAGGACCGCGAGGCAGGCTGCGGGGCTGGGGGCAGAACCGACCTGCAAGGGCGCTGGCGGCTTGAGAAGGTGGGGGCAGAAACCCCAAAAGAGACCCACGAAACCCTCTTTTCTACCCCGGGAGATTAAATAAGGCTCTTTTTGATACTGATACTCGAGATCAACACCCCCGGCTTCCCTCCTCCCCACTTCTCATTAACCAACAACATTTCAATCAACGCCTGGTAGCAAAAGAAAAGCAAGCCAGCTTTCCCGTGGCTGGCCGGCCAGAATTTCTTCCCGACAGAAGCAAAAAGGCTCAGATCCAGCCTTCAGGCTTAACAAGTACTGCTCTTCGAGGAAGGCCAAGCCCCTGTGCTTAGCTCAGAGGGCCTACTGCCTGGGGAGGAGGCTACGGTGGTGTAGGTAGCCGTCATCACAGGGCGAACAGTGCCCTCTGCTGGTAGCGTCCTGGCGGTGGAATTCACTGGGCCTCAAGCACCGGCCCACACACCACCATCAAAAGTCTTAGTCTGGAGGCGCACCTGGGTGGCTCAGTGGGCTAAAGCCTCCGCCTTTGGCTCAGATCATGATCTCAGGATCCTCGGATCGAGCCCCGCATCAGGCTCTCTGCTTTTCAGGGAGTCTGCTTCCTTCTGCCTCTCTGCCTACTTGTGATCTCTGTCTGAAAA